AAAAAAAAAAAAAAAAAAAAGTTGATATCCTAGGTATAGCGAACAACCAATGTGTGCCGCTCAACCCGAGAATCTTGGCGCAAACCGGAGATCAGGATGAGTAAGACTGCGATGGCTTCGCAACGGGTCCAGGATACCCCAATCGATCGACCGTGTCCCGAGAATGGCGATCCTGCAATGCATGAACGAGCTGGCCGGGCGCGCCGAGTTGCAAGAGGCTCTACAGCAAGATTCTTCTTTTGCGTGCGTGCGTGCGTGGGCGCGTGGGCGTGGCGGATCAGAGACTGATCAGAATGGCAGCCGCCTGCTAGACCTTCACGTATGGTGGTGGTGGATTACTCGCCCCGGCGCGGAGAAAATGTCCACCAGCGACCTCAACCTCAACCACAACAACGCGCAACGGCGGCAGCAAACGGAGCTCGCTCAGAGCTACGATGCAGAAACGAACGTCGGAAGATCGACACGTGCTGTAAATCTGCAGACTCGCGGGCGATATTATTGCAGACTGGGGCCCTGAGGAGGAAAGGGTCTAGATCGCAGATTCCAGAGAGATGCAAAGGAGTGGAAATGGAGTGCAGTCGGCCGATTCATATACCTACCACTTTACTTGACATGGAACCATGGCATACGTACCTACCTACCTTCCAGCGCGCCGAGAAGAAAAAAGTCTTGCAGCGAACCAGGGATGACGCTGTGCTAATGTGCTAAAGGAGCCCAGCTCTTAGTGTCCTGTGGGGCATTTGGGGCGGGACATGGCTCCTGGGCGCCGGCAAGATAGCGCCTTGTCCCAAGGTTGGGTCTCTTCACTTGCAGGTCAAGTATCATCGAGGTACCCCGATCTGTTTCTTCGATTTACATGCCGTCTTCCGAGCTCTTCTCCTCTTCACCCTGTCAGCTATGTAAAATTATATCGCACAGTGACTCTATTTGGCTGACATGATTAGGATATCACTCTTGCAAATGAATTCGACTAGTTCGGTGATGCTGATTGGGATTCGAGACAAGAAGTGAAGTGTTTCTAGAAGAATCGCCTGAATCATGACGAACCGGTTGGTTCCACAGTCCCAAGACTTCCGGTAACCGACCAAAGCTTTTGCCCAGCATATCTCCGACAATGTTACTCGTAATTTCGAGCGAGCCAAGTGTGACAAGCAATCTTGTGATTTCTTGTCTTGCTTGACTGAAGGTCATTACAAGCTTTGTCAAGACAGTCCATCTCTTCGGTTCTGCAGATAATATTATTATTATTGCGGGACTGGAGATGGATTTGATATGCCGGCTTCTCATCAAATGGTCAAGACAGCTATAAATATTGCCATCTTTCCCTGGACTCACTTTCATTGAGGTTTCAAATGCTGTGATCAATCCAAGACCGCTACCTGCTCCATGACTGGTCAAGCGACTGGTGTCGTAGGCAGAAGTTGAACTTTCTCTGGCGCCATGCTTGCTCAGTGTCCTCGGACTCTACAACTCAAAGTTGCAAAGGAGGCGTTGCTTTGGATGGAGTGATGCACAACAACACATCTATCACTTATTCACGGCCGCACGAGATTCACCTGCACGGCTTGTCAACTTTCAACTACTGATCAGCATGTCTCTGGATATGGTGTATACCAGAAGTGAAATGCTGCATAGCGCCAAGGGCCAGTCGTTTGAATCTACATCTTGCAAGTCACCATCTTGTTGACTATTCGCTATGGAAAACAGGTCAATCAGCCCAAACAGGTGACGGTACTTGACAGGTACATGCGGCGCTACCGCCCGAGCGATCGCAGACCCCGACTTGCCCTGTCAGCCACCGGGCCTGCGGGTGCCCATACAACGCCAAATATCGCTGTAGCCGGGGGGCTGAGCACTCTCAGATCCTCAACGGTCCAAGATAACGGAAAACACAGACGCCGACCGTGTCGCGATACTCAAATAACTAAATAAAAGGGAGGCGTGGTCTGCTCGGACGATCTCTTCACAAAGTTCGAGTGATGTTCGCTCTTGCATTATCACCACTTTAGTTCCTGTCTTTCTCGTCGATTCCCCCTCCCCCCTCCTCACTGCTACTTAGATGTAGAGCCGACCGCCATTACGGCCCCAGCGATGCAGATCGACGTCACATGTACTATGCAACAGGCGCTGTGCGAGGGAGCGATCGGAGGGGCGGAGGTGGGCGAGTGAGTAGTTGCGTGATAACATAACCGGAGCTGGCGCGCGTCCTTTACTGCGTAGCAAGAGTGCCAACTCCCTAGGGGCTCTGGGCAATACTTGGCGAGAAACAAACCCCCTAATCACACTTGTTTGCCAAGTGTCAGCGCCCAGGTTTTGTGCAGTCCTGGCGCATATTGGGCCAGTCCAAGTTTTTCCCTCTTTCTTGCTTTTCTTTTCCACCGGCACTGAAGTCTGTTGAGAGGTTTGAGGGAAAAACAGTAAAAAGTAGTTACCTGCAGATAGTCTAGGGGCCCCGGCGCCTGCAGGATGGTCTCCCCAGGTAGGCTGACCGCAGCGAGCTCACTGGCAGTCTCGGAGCTGGTGGCGCCCGATGGCTGCAGCCGGCCCTCTGACGCCGTGTCGCCGCGCGCGGTGGTCGGAAGACACGTGGGGGTCTGGATGCCCACGATGCCCGGACATCCATGAGGCGGGCCAACAAACGCTCACAGCAGCCAACCCGGGGAAAGAGTTTCCAACGGTCAGCATGACAGCCTCTTCTCTGACATGACGAGGTATGCGCATACAACGTGGGTGCTGCTGTTGTTGAGCCTCTTAGCACATCCCGCGTAAGTCCTGTCCTACATACCGAGACAGCTTTAGGCTTAGTTCTTGGTTGACTGCCGGGTTCAGCTTCATGCAGCTCAAGGTAAAGTTGCGGTTGGTTGAATTGAGCAAAACGTGGGGTATCGTGCAAGGTAAAATGACTGCCCGACTTCCTGGCCCCATTGTGCTCTTCAGACCCGACATGCAGTGGCACGCGAGGACGAAGCCCGTCACCCGCTCCTATTCGCAGACCGAGAAGCCACGGATCGGATCCTCTTGCGGAGACTCGATGGCGGTGATGGAGCTCTCTACGGTTTGCGGGGGTCATCTCATGCAGGTAGGCTTGGTGGGCACGCGGGCTTTGCTCTCAACCCCCGTGAAGAGTTGATCACACGGTGAGATTCTGCATCTTTCATGATGCGCTGGCATGGACTAGTGAGCGACAGGATGAGTGAGAACCGCATGGACATGCCATATAAGTAGGTATAGATCCGATATTGAACTTGAATCACGATGTTGCTTTGCCTTCGTGGGGAGCTTTTGGTCAGTCTCCAAGGACACATCCCCCAGCTGCTGTGTAACCCTGCCATGCTCCTGCACTTATTCGACTTCGCTCAGAATTCTTCTTGTTGGAGAATGTCGGTGGAAACGTCCTAATTTCTGGTTGGTGGATGGGGGAAAGGGAAACGACACAAGGGTTTGGTCCTTGGGCACCAAGACAATATTCTGAACATGTTCTGTCTTCGGACTGTAAGTCAATCGCCATCCAATGGGAAAACGCAATTGATTTTCAAATGTCAGATCTCTGATTTGTTTCCAGTCTCTCTTCGCGGGGTGATGTTTAGTGGTTGAGGCTTAATGGGCTTCTGGTGTACCTTATTGAAGCTTTGGTCCCACAGTGCGGATGCTATGGATGAGTCAGCAAATCTTTTATTTTTGCTGCAGGTGCTCTCCAATGAATGCGGCGTCGAAAAATTGTGGCTGCCCTGTGGCTACACTAACACATCAATGCACTAAACTACCCACTACGCGTGTCTCTGAGTGAACGCGACGAACGCGACCACCAGGGGCTCAGTTGTACCTTACTTGCAGAGACCTCAATGTTTGGATCCAATTGACCTTCCCACCTCCAGACCTCATACAACTGCTTCTGTATGACGGCTGGGGCAACCAGCCAACTCCTCCTTCGCCGCCCTCTGTTGTTGAGTAGAACAGCGATCGTGCAGAGGACCTTTGTCCGAGCCCATGTCTGCACTCCCGGACAACTCCTCGATCCTCTTCCTGGCACAATGTTAGGAAGAGCTGCTGGCAAATACGAGGCCGAGAAGGCCTCCGAGGCCCCTCAGCCCAATGCCCTCTCCAAGAAGCCAACTCTAGCAAAGCAGCTCTTCCCTTCCAGCAGCCCCCATGATGGCAACATCGTCGACCAATTCAAGAAAGCTCGTCCGCCCTCGAGCTCCTTCAACAAGCCCTTCGGCCCCGCCAGCTTCGTGAAGCCCTCCAGACCCAGGGAGCCTCTTCAGCCGCAGTCTGCCAACATCTCCCCTCCCGTTCCTCGCTCAGGATACGGTGGCAGCGGCAAGTCTTTCGCGTCTCTCTATAATAAGTCCAACTCATTCACGGAGCAGCCAGAGGTCATCGACCTGATCGATGATGAGCCCAGCCAGGCGAGCACTAAGACGCTCCAGGGCTCTGTCTATATTGCAGAGGATGACTTCAGCGATGATGATAACCTCGATCTGGACTTCGAATGCCCCTCGGCACTCCCTACCCTCCCACCTCCACCCAAGCCTGCAACCGTCAAACGTGAGGAACCACCTCTGCCAAGCAGCACCAACCTGTCCTGGTCTCAGTCATCACCGTCACACTTCGCCCGGCCACAAGCTAGGACCAAATCCGAGTCGTCTACCTCCCAGAAGTCTGTGAAGCGACAGTCACCCGAGGAAGATCTTCCAACGCCACTCCCGGCGGCCAAGAAGCGTGCTTTGCCCAAGCATTACAAACAACCAGAGTACCCCGAGCTTGACCAGGGTGGCGATCAGCCTTTTGGACAACCCTACGCAGCAGCCACGCCTGTCCCGAAGAAGACTAAGGACCCTCTTCCGTGGAACACAACCGCAAGCGCTGTCAAGGAGCAAAAGAAACAGTTGAAGATTCAGAGCAAGAAGCCAGCGGCCACCGCAGATGCTTCAGTGGAGGATATCAAAGAGACTGTTAAAGCCCACACATCTGCAACAGCTCAGATATCTGCCATTTCCCTAAGCAACGAGCAGACGCACGTCAAGAATTTGGTGTGTGAGATGAAGAAGAGCGTGTTCTTCACTGGTCCTGCTGGTACCGGTAAATCGGTTCTCATGAGAGCTATCATCCAGGATTTGAAGAAGAAGTGGGCTCGGGACCCGGAGAGACTGGCTGTCACCGCATCGACAGGGCTGGCAGCTTGCAATATTGGCGGTATGACTCTTCACAGTTTCTCGGGTATTGGTCTTGGAAAGGAGGATGTGCAGACTCTGGTCAAGAAGATCAGGCGCAATCCGAAAGCCAAGAACCGATGGCTCCGTGCAAAGACACTCATCATCGACGAGATTTCCATGGTGGATGGCGACTTATTCGATAAGTTGTCCCAGATTGGACGCATAATACGCAACAATGGTCGGCCGTGGGGTGGTATTCAACTCGTCATCACCGGTGATTTCTTCCAGCTTCCTCCTGTGCCTGATGGCGACAAGAAGAGGGAAGTCAAATTTGCGTTTGAAGCGGCAACTTGGAATACTTCTATTGACCACACAATCGGTTTGACCGAAGTGTTCCGTCAGAAGGATCCAGGTAAGCACCCCTTATTCTGAAACCTACTCCAAGATTACTGATTTGGCCGATAGTGTTCGCGCAGATGCTGAACGAGATGCGGCTGGGACAGATCAGCCAAGATACTGTCAAGGCTTTTCAAGGTCTATCTCGTCCTTTACGCTTCGACGACGATCTAGAGGTTACCGAATTGTATATATGCCTCATCCTATTCACATTTCTCTAAAGCATGCTAATTTATTCCAGATTTCCCACAAGAAATGAAGTGGAAAACTCAAACGAGAAGCGTCTGAAGGCTTTGCCAGGGAAGTCGTATCGCTACGATGCCCATGACACCGGCGATCCTGCTATAAGAGAGAAGCTACTCCAAAACATGATGGCACCCAAGACCCTTGAGCTGAAGAAAGGCGCCCAGGTCATGCTCATCAAGAACATGGACGAGACTCTCGTTAACGGTTCTCTCGGAAAAGTCATTGGGTTTATGACAGAGAGCCATTTCAACATTACAGGCGGCGGCTTCGATGCATTCGGGGCCGACGACGAGGGAATGGACACTGGAATGGACCCCAAGGTGAAGAAGAGACTGGCCATGTTTAGCCGGGAACTGGACAGTAGTGCTGGACCAGACCGGAAGGAATATCCCCTGGTGCAATTTCACGCAGTGGACGGCACCCCCCGAATCCTTCTCTGTGTCTCTGAGCCGTGGAAGGTTGAACTGCCAACTGGAGAAGTACAGGCTTCTCGTGAACAGCTTCCCCTCATCCTGGCTTGGGCGCTATCCATCCACAAGGCCCAGGGACAGACGTTGGAACGTGTCAAGGTCGATCTTGGCAAGGTGTTCGAGAAGGGACAGGCGTATGTGGCGCTCAGTCGAGCCACAACACAAGCTGGTCTCCAGGTTCTGCGCTTTGAGAAGCATAAGGTCATGGCACATCCCAGGGTGGTGCAGTTCTACCAAAAACTATACAGCGCCGAATCCGCTATCGGAAAGAAGAAGCCAGCGCAAACATCAATTGCGAACTTTGCCTTCCAAGGCGCATCCAAGCCTGTTGCCAAGAAGGGCTATGAGGTTGTTGATTTGGACGACGATGAGGAGGCCATGGCGGCGTACGGTTGAAATATCCTGCGGTCATTGGAGCATGCTACGGACAAGAATTAAAGGTTCTGGCATGCCAGGCAGAACTACCCTCTGGCGCATTGGAGTTGGACTGGCATTGATATTCAGCGCCTTATGTGCCATAGTGTTAGATGTCAACTTGTAGTTGTTACGAGCAGTGGGGCTTCGTCTCTGCCAGAGAGAAATACCTCCTGTCTTAGTACTAGGGAAAATAAATCAAATTCTAGCCAAATAGCTACATTACTCGTTTATGCCTGAACAGCTTGTGAATTTGGTCGTAAGTTGGGGGCGAGGGTGGTTGCTGTCGGCCTACAGCCCAGCCATGATGTCGACAATTGTGCCGGAGTCGTTGGTTCGTAATACCGAGGCTCCCCAATTTTGCAGGTCCTCCCTCCCAGATACAGTCGCCAATCTCACAATAGAGTATAGAGCTTCAACCATGGCGATTGCGAATTGCACGAAAGGAAGCGACTGTCTTCCAAATTGAGAAAGTTGAAAAGGCAATAAGACCATCGTGCCCACCGCAAAACTTACCTCATCATGAGACGGCCATGAACAAGCCTGGCAACGACAACCCGAGTAGTCGGGTTGAATCTGGCATTGGCACCTTCTTGTGGAAGCCCCAAGCCTCGTTACGTATTAGTTGCACCTACATTGATATTGGGTCTTGTTTGATGTAAACCTGTTGCACGCCTTCCTTTGGCGTCCGATGCCTCGCCCTACACCCTGGTTAGCTGGAAAACAGACACCACATGAGACTGCCTTATGCTATATCTTTTAGACATGAACAAAACCTCGTAGCTGGGCCCCTATTGTGGCCTTTGTATCCTGGAGGAATACTTTCTAGGGAGAACCTTTCCGTATCATGGCGTTCAAACTCTTGTTGGCAATGTTTGATCAAGTGAAAGAAAGGAAGGGGGAAAATCGTGAATTTGCAAGAATTTTATCGAGGGGAGAGTGCCAGATCCTGAGTACTGTACCAAGAATGGGTATTGGTGCGGGAAACCAGGGTTACCAAGCACTCTAATAAATAAACAGGAGACTAATACGTAGGCTTGTATTCGAATTCAATTAGGTATCCGATCATGGGTTGGATTTAGATTGTGCGTGTTTGGGACAACATCAAATACCATATACCTTCTTTGAGATCGAGGTCGAGAGCCCAGATTCAGCTACCTGGATACTTTAGCTACCTAGATGGGTCCGTGTGAAATGGGCACATCGACGAGAGGCATACTGTGCTTATCGATATGAAAACGTCACGCCTGCAACTAACTTTATTTTGCGACTTTGCCCTCTCTAGCTCACCGGACGACAGCCCATTGAAATTCATCCCATGCAAATACCTACCGCAAGACTGTGGACGACGACCGTTCGAATTCGCCTATTTCCCTAGGGCACGAGCGCCTCATCCAGAACTGCCTACTCCGATTGACCTTAAGGCACTTTCATAGCGGGGAGCTGTGAGACTCGTTATTCGAGTCGCATACGCAACCGGTGGCAGCCATGGCATCTCAATTCATAGGGCTGCAGATGGTGGTCACCCTGCGGGATCCCCCTACGAGACTGCGTGGTACTGTCAGTGATGTCGAGGCTGGCGTGGGCTTGACCTTGAGCAATGGTATGTAGCTGCTTTTGACCTATCTTCTCATCTACATGCACGAACGATTCTAACTCGACCTTCTTTACAGTGTGGACGCTCGATACCAGCCAGTGGCAGCCGAGAGTGGCCATCCATGCCGCAAACATCGTCGACCTCTCCGAGGTACCTGCTGCTGGTCCTCCACCGCAGGCAGCTCCCATGCCTACGCCACCCATTGCGCCTGTCCCGCAAGCTGTCCCCCAGCCGTCCAAGACCGCCTTCGTGGACCCCGCCATTCTAGCCGTGGGAAAGCCTCCTGGAGGACCGCCGAAGCAGGCCTCACAACCTAATACTAGTGAGAGGAGGGATCCGCACCCCACGTCTATCTCGTCTGTGCAAGCTGAAGGGACGTCTCGAGACGCTACGCCCACGGGAAGCGTGCTGGATCCATTGAAGGGCTTGCGACTTGAGACGGTAGCTGCCGGAGACTCTCTGCCGTTGGATGATTCTGTCGGCCCCGAGGCAGCGGCACAGGAGTCCCAGACCGGAGGACAGAAGAAAAAGAAGAGACAACGGCAGCCGCGCAGTGCCCGGAATGGTGCGCCGGAAGAGGCACCAGATGCGTCGCCCGCTAGGGGTACCAAACCTGCAAACAGAGGCAAGGGCTGGCGCGAGACGCCCATGCTGCAGGACACAACATCTTTCCAGCCGTTCAAGTCGCTGAAGAAGAACGGCGCCAAGGGCCAGGCCAACGACAATGGGTGGGCATCTGAGGACGTTACGGACGTGCAGGAGATGGGCGACTTTGACTTCGAGGGCTCACTCGCAAAGTTTGACAAGCGCACGCTGTTTGACCAGATGCGAAAGGAAGATCAGGTCGACGAGGCTGATCGTCTAGTGTCACACAACCGGCAGCAACGGCCCAAGCCTGGCACAGCTGGTGGCAAGAATTTGCATTACTCGGAGAATGTTCTGGACCTCCCCACCGGCGCCACGAAATCCGAGAAGGTGTCACCGATTCCGTCAAATGACTTCTGGAACAGCGAGGCAGATGATGCTGCTCCTCACGGCGGGGAGCGCCTCAGCGGTCGAGATGGTAGCAGACAGAGCTCGCGCCGGGGCGAGAGTAAGCTGTCGGTCACGCGCAGGTCGCAGTCACGGAAAGCCAGCGCTGCCACCGCCATACAGGGGCCCGCCCGTGTGAACTCTGGTGTAAGTATTCGCGACAACATAGACGCCTGGTACCGGTCGAAGTATATTGACAAGAGGAAGCAGCTCAACACGTTTTCGTCGTCAGGGGGCTTTTACTTGCAGCCTTCTAATCGCCGTTTGGAGACAGTGTCTGCGCTACAGATGCTAAACCTCGAGAACATTGCTCACAATGAGCTGGGTCTCACTGAAGACATGATGACTGAGAACGCTGGCAGAGGCATTGCAGAAGTGGTCTTGATGGCGCTTACAGATCCTGCGATCAAAGTTCGAGTAGGAACTACAGATGCAGTTGGGGGCTCTAACATCCCACCTCCCACAGTTGTGATCCTAGCAGGGAACAACAAGTCCGGTATCCGTTCTATTGCAGCCGGTCGTCATCTCCGCAACAAGGGCATCAACGTCTTGCTGTGCGTAGTAGGCATAGAACGTGGTGACCGCGACTTGCTCGAGGACATGCGGCAGCAAGCGAGACTCTACAAGAACTTCGGCGGGCGGATCTTTACAAAAACAGACCTCTTCGATCACGTACGTAAAGCCAGCATCCCCGTCATATCAATGGATGCACCCCGCAGCGTGCTTCCTCAAGTACCTCCTGCGGTCACTTTGATAATAGATGCGCTCCTGGGCCTCGCAGTCTCCTTTGATGAGCTACGCACCGGTGACCAAGCTACTGTCTACGAGCTAATTGAGTGGGCGAATCGCAACGAGGCGTTCGTACTTGCCATTGACGTACCCACCGGCATTGACCCATCATCAGGCAAAGTCAGCATCATCGACGGCAATCGACTATACGTGCGCCCTCGATACGTGGTGTCGTTGGGCGCACCAAAGAAGGGCCTCCTGGAAGCCGTCCAGGCGGGAGATGTCGCCGATGATGAGACGGTGATGGGAGACGCCGCGGCTGCAGACGACGCTGTGGTGGACTGGAAGCTGTTCGTGGCCGACATGGGCCTGGGCGCGGCGGCGTGGAAGAAGGCCGGCACCAAGATACGGCGGGGCATCGATTTTGATAACAAATGGGTGCTCGAGATGCGATACCAAAGCCCTGCGGCAGGCCAAGGCGAGGAGTAGGGTTCTCAGCAGCGGGGGCATCCGCTTCAGGAGATCACAACGTCAGGTTAAAACGCCTTGCAGGGGATTCGGGCCAGGGAGGCCACGGTCCTGACTGGCACTCGCCTGGGAGAGTCGCAGGATGATAGCCTTGCGGCTGCTTGGTAGACTCGCACTTCATCTCGTGTGCATAGTCGAAAAGCATCTGGCTCTCGACGCTCTCAGAGCTCTACTGCTATCATTTGATGAGAGGGGGGCCAGCCAAGGCGATTATAATAGCTCAACGACGGCAGCTTTGCGGTTGGCTTTCCTTAGTCGCCGAGACTGATATCAAGACTCGAGCCACATCTGTCGCAGTTCGCAGTTCCGGGCCATCAAGGCGTTTCGCTAGCCCGAGAGGCGAATAGCCTTATATTTAAGTACTTGTATAGCTATATTATATCTCAAGTGCTTATGCACTGGTTTGAAGATAGAGGATTTACATAGCAAATAGAGCCTCATACCAACCGAAATAGAGTTGCCACAACTAAAGCGGCCAATTATTACCTCGTTGAAGCAGCTACGGCAATGATCACAGCCAGCCTTGACGGGCGGTGAGACGGGACATACCGATCCCTCGTCTTCCATGCCCAGCAAGGAGCGACACTGCATGAAGGATGCTGGCTAAGCATACAACCGTCAAATAGCGTGCGGCGTATGATCACATCAGCAAATCACCATCCGTTGGCTTCATTCAGCGATGAGGTTCGCCTGCTCAAGTCCGAGCTGTAACAGGTACGAGCTACTAACAGTAAGCTGTCGTATCAACCATTAGTACTACTCATTTGCGTAAACATTGTTCTACCAGAAATCGCCAGTTGTTCGGTGCCGGTAATTCTTGGTATTCCGAATGGGAATCCTTTACCAAGCCAACTGCTGACCCTCTTGATAAAGCCGTATATACATACCTGGGTGCCTTTCTGGAATTTTTTCAGGCGTGTGTTTGACCACATGCCATAGAGCCTCGATAAGGTTACTGTCTGAACAATATGGCTGGTGTACCAATTTCGAACCTATCCGCAGAGCTCGGTCCCAACTCGGAACTGGGCAAGGCGCTGACAGCAGCTCTGCCCGGCAGGGTCTCACTTCCGGGAAGCGATCAGTTCAATGCCAGCAATGGGTCATACTATTCGGCATTTGAAAACGAGATTGTTCCAGCGGCCATTGCGCACCCAACCAGCGTGGCCGAGGTTGCGACTCTGATCAAGACTCTCAAGCCGCTCCTTCTGGGACAGCCAAGTGGCTCACCGAAGCTTGCGATTCGTGGGGCGGGCCATGCGCCGCATCCTGGGGCGGCCAACGCCCAGGATGGAGTGACGGTAGATATGCGCGGGCTGAAGGGTATCAAGCTCAGCCATGACAAGACGGCCGTCAGCATCGCGGCGGGCGAAACTTGGGATAAAGTATACGAAGCTCTAGCTCCGGAGGGACTGACGGTAGCTGGCGGAAGGGTTACTGCTGTTGGAGTGACGGGATTTCTTCTTGGAGGTGAGTCTACGCCTTTTGGATCGGTGGCGGGCCCATCGCTGAAAAGGGGCTACAACAACAGGCGGGCTGTCGTATTTCTCGACCGTCCGCGGCTTCGGCGTCGACAACGTAACCAACTTCGAGCTGGTCCTCGCCTCAGGGGAGGTCGTTCAGGCCAATGCCTCCATCAACCCGGACCTCTATCGGGCAGTGCAGGGCGGCTCGAACAACTTTGGCATCGTTACGCGCTTCGACATGGCCGTGTTCCCACGGACGGAGACAATGTGGGGAGGCCTGTTGTACGCGACAATCGACAACCTCACAAAGAGCCACCAGGCGCTGTATGACTTCGCCACAGCTGAGGGCGACGCTGTCGATGAGAATGCGCACATCCAGGTGATAGCGGCGTACATAACGGCGAACAACATGGGTTTTGACGTGGTCGGTGCGAATCTGTACCACACAGAGGGCGTTGCGAATCCGCCGTGCTTCAAAGGGCTACTGGAGATGGAGGGCAGGATCGAGCAGTTCACTACGCTGAGGCAAGACACGCATCTTGGCTTCTGTCAGGAGCAGGCAATGCTGAACTCTGCGGGGAAGAGGTGAGTTCTCCATGGTATTGTTCGAATCACAACACGTAGAGATCTAACGCGACCGATTTGAGACAATTCTTTATCACATCGACGATCAAGCCGTCACTCGAGCTCTTCAACGCAGTGTACGAGCGCTTCCACGCCGATGCACTCGCCCTGAAGGATTCTGTGGCCGGGATCGTGCTGGCACTTGTCCTTCAGCCCCTGACGAAGACTATGCTGCTCAACTCGTGCCGCCAGCGGCAGGCGGATGACACTGGCTACAACAGTCAGGGGCTCAGAGTAGAGGATGGCCCGTTAATTGTCGTGCTTGTCTCTTCCACTTGGGCAAAGCCATCCGATGATGACACTGTTATAAAGATGGTGGAGAAGATGAATGCTGATATCCAGGCGCTGGCGCAGGAGAGGAGAATGGGTCACAGATATATCTTCCCGAATTATGCTTGGACGGGGCAAAATGTTATGCAGGGCTACGGTGAGGAGAGGCTGGCAGAGTTGAAGAGCGCGAGTGAAAAATGGGACCCAGAGCGTTTCTTCCAGACGGTAGTTACTGGAGGCTTCAAGCTCGGCGAGTGATTGAAGTCCAATAACTGCTGTACACACTCGCAAGAAGGCTCAACGGGGTATTGTCTACCATTCTGTCTGAATGCAGACAACGACTCTTTTGACATGCATTTTGACCTCTAACTCCAGTTACCATATGATCCAACTACCTACAACCTCACCAATGCCGTCTATGTCTATCATGCCGTCCACATAATGCTCCTTAGTCTCTCCCTCTCTGCTTCACCACCGAATATGACCTCAATTCCCCTCCTCGCCAAGCTGCAAATATCATCCTTCCTCAGGCCGAAATGCTTGGCTACGAGGCGATACTCGTTGGACGAGGGGCTACCAAAGACACCCACATCATCCGTCTACCGAATATCAGTATTATCGAAACACTGGTTAATCGCGTAACGAGGCCTAGAACTTACACAAAGCACAACTACGCAGTCATCGACTTTGTGCCAATCACCAAAATGATGAGCCTCAAACCCACCAGTGATCATCATAGCATGCACATTACAACTTAAGCACAGCTCCAGCCCCATCTTCCCATGGGCTATGATCTCCTTGCGCACACGATCGCTGACGTGAATCACATGCCCAATGCGGTCGGGCTTCCACTCGAGGAGCATTAGGAGCTCCTCGTCAGTCCCTGAAGCCTCAGCCTCCGCAAAGTGCACCGTGATGCCTAGACCCTCGAGCTTCTTGGCCTCGTGGAACGCAGGGGCGAGAGCTTCGATCCCACCGCGCGCCGGATCGCCGCACAGGTCAATGCCGACTACTCCTTTGCCGTGAAACTGCCGCACGAGCTCAACAACCTCTAGGGCCTCTGCTAGAGTGTTCCGACGATCGACGGAGAGAATCAGCTTGGTGCGCAGACGCGAGTCTTGCGCTTCGAAGTCCCGTATAGCGTCTAGGATGGCGCGGACGTATTCAGCCTTTGATAGAGGCGGGTTTGATTTTGGCAGTGCGCGAGGCGTGGTGCGCAACTCCAGGTAAACGACGCCATCGTCTGCGAAGTCTTGCAGCACGGAGCGAGTGGTGTAATTCAGAGCCCATGCGTCGTTCACAAGATGGTAGATGTAGGAAGAGAATAGGGGAAAGAAGCTGTTGAAGACAATGTGTGAGAACCCCACATTCCGAGATCGGACATACAGCAGCCAAGACAAGACAGAGAGAGAGGTGTTTGAAGCCTTACGTCTTGAGATCATAGTCATGTTTCCCATCGGGCATCTCGACGAGGGGGTCTGCCAGCTCCGTCTCGCCGGCCGCGCTCTTGCGCTCCCAGACCTCGTGCAGGCATTTGCGGCTGATGCTGCCACTCAGATGCGCATGAAGCTATGATGTTGAAATGTTAGCTTTGGTGTTCGGCAAAATTTTCTCCTCAATGCCGTGGCGCTTGCCACAACGTTTCAATGCTCTCATGTTTACCTCAATCTTTGGCAGCGCTACGAAGTCCAGCTCCTCCGTATTCTGCTGCATCTTTGACGACGACGGCTGGCTCAAATAGGAAGTGATTTAATGTTGTGTGCACAATTCCACGGACGCATTGGGCACGAGAATGGAAAACGCTCGCACGCAATTGGTTTCCAGCAAAGCTAGAGGCAGCGCTAGCTCCCAGCGGCCCCGGGAAGAGACTAATGAATGATACGATACTAACGTCGGCTCTGCCTCATGCAATGCATTCACCTCTGCATCGGGTCTTGGCCCTTCGCTTCTGCTCATGTCGATATGCATGGCGGCGTGTCGGGAGGCTCTCTGCATACAGTGGGATGCAAGCCTAAGAAGCAGTCTGGGTTTCGAGAGTAAGGGCAGCCAAGACATACAAAGATGGCCTCCAACTAAAAAGGGCAAGACATGCATGTGCTGTGCAAGTGTCCACTTTGAGAGCTCACTGGTCGGCTCGAAAACGCCGTGGCAGGTATCATCGTCTGATATGCCTGGTTTAAAGTATCTAGTGGCTTGCTCAAGGTAGCATTGGTACCTGGTTCCTGGACCGGGCCTCTAGGGTATGGTGGTAATGGCCAATAAACCACCCATCCATTCCAAGTTTGTGATCTCCAGGTAGGCTTCGAGAAGAAATGACGGGCACGGACAGTACGGTATTACCAACAGGAAGTTGGTTTTCCTACAAACGGCTGCTATGTCTATTGCTGGGTTTGTAAACAGAGTATGGTCAATTTCATGACTGCTGTCTCCTCGTATATGAGTTCTTATACATCCATGCCATGCCTTTTTTTGAAGGGTTCGACGGCAATCCGTGGAGGCAGACTTACGCTTGTTCATTGTCGCTCGGCATTGAGGACAACATCCCGTTCCGAAGGTGTTATCACCTCCCGTCCCGCGAAGGGTGTGCAATGTGCTGGTTGTGAGACAATGACAGCAGTAACGCTTGAAACGATGCGTTGTAGTGGCCCCCTACTATGATATACGACAGCACGGCGGCCCGTCAGAGCTGGACAGTGTTCTATTTCGCAGCCGTAGAGCAAGTGTCGCCAGGAATGGGTTGGAGCATCGCCTGATGTTGCCCTTGCCCACTTGATGGTGAGCCCCTTCTGACCAGTCGAGCCAGTGTAGCCGAGATGAGTTTAAAGAGGGATTCTTAAGAGTACCTAGCTGTCAACCTTGTCCTCACTGGGGGATACTGACGGCACAGGCAATATTTGCACATATCTCAGGGTACCCATGACAGACGTTATGCTAAGCGTCGGCGTACCGGTCGTTAGCCAACTGTCTGGGGTGGGCCGTGACCCTGTCAGACCCTGCAAGGGCGGCGCGGAGCGAATAGTTGGTGGGAACTCTCGTGATTTAGGTGGGAGGGTGGATGACGGGCCTTGCAGGCTTAGGAGGGTGGCTCTCAAGATTGCCGCAATATCTCGAAGAGTTGATCGAGCCTGCTTATGAATCCAACCACAAGAGAAGCTGTTGTTCAAGGGCGGTCTTGCGGCTGCAGAGCTGCACAACAAACGGTGAAATAAGCCGTAAGTGGCAGCACGGGCTTGAAAACCGACAGCTTCAGAGTTCGAAGCGGAAATTGAAGAGAGAGCTAAGGTGACTAGCGGTTCCGGAAGCCACTTCAGATAAAAAGCCGCTTGCAAGCCCCTCCCTCATCCTGCCCAGTCAGCAGCAAGTCACGTCAGAGGAGGAGGAGGACGAGATAGGAGATGAGGAGGAAGAAGCAACTTTCCTCACCTCACCATGATCTGTCTCATGTCGTACAGATAAGAAGCAACAAAAGCCCGGCCGCAACTCTTTTTAGGAAGCAAGACGAAGGAGATACTATGCAGTACAGTGCACTAAGGCAGTCTGAAGTCTAGACTGTGCCAACGCTAGCTGGATCCAGCCATTACATAGTACCTACCTAGGTACTTTTGCAAAGAGATGCCTTTGTCCTACGTGTCTGCGAGCGGTAGAGTCCATGCCGCAAGAGCCCCGACGAGAGCTCGATTCGGACAGCTCAGCAAGATCGAACATGAGGATGTCATGACGATGCCTTCTGCCTGCTTGCTCGTCCGTCTCGAACACGGTAGAAGAAGAAGAAGAAGAAGCCCATCGGCTGTGGCCAAACTGCCCTGTACAACGTACGCGACCACTTAAAGCACCAACCCTGGTGAGCGGTCTCCGGGCCTGCATATCGAATTTCGGGGAAGCTGGGATGCGGACTATGTTAGTGGGTGCAGTGGGAAAGGCAACCCGGGAAGGTGGAGTAGCCCACTAACAATGGCCTGTTGAACCTGAGGGTATTCGTAGTACACAATTGCGGAAAAGGAGGTGGGAATATACGCACCGAATACTTTGTACATGGTCCGAGGGTGATGATGGCGTTTTCTAAGGACTGAAATCCTGTTGGCCAGTGCACCTTGTCCGGTTGGTTCTTCTGCGGTGCTTTCCCCCAGCTCCAAACCCCCCC